TCACAGGACACATCGTGCCCATCCCTTCTTTCCTTCCTCCTTTCAATCTGGCCTTTTTAAGAACAAAGAAACGGCTGTAATGTGACAGAGTTTCTGTAATTTTATTTAGCCACTTCACCCAACAGTACCTCCTCTGTGACCTGCCTCGAACAGTGCCAGGGTTAAGAAAAGAGCAAACACAGTCTCACTTTGGGATATAAGCAGGACCAATGTGTGTGTTATTTGTCTGCTTAACAGTCAGATGTCTAACCTGATGAACCAGGCTCGACTGAAGGTGCTGAAGGCCCGTGATGATATGATCTCGGTAAGTCTCTGTCATCAGTTTATATACATACGAAAGATGGGCTGGTTAAATATCACAGCTGAGAGTGCAAACAGAAGAGATCAGGTGTGTTTTTTGTACCCTCAGGAAATGCTGAATGAAGCTCGCCAGCGGCTCGCTAACATTGCAAAAGACCCGGCCAGGTATTCAACTCTTATGGATGGACTGATCTTACAGGTTGGTTTATACTCCGAGGCCTGCCCGCTAACATCCCTCTGACCAATGAAATTTACTCTGTAAAACAAGTTCCATCTGTACTAAAAGATTTCAGCTATTTTAGAGCAGCAGGATCCTCATTTGTGTCCCCAGAATGTGAGAGGGGGGCTGTGACCCTGCCATAATAACATCACTGCACTGTAAACACAAGGATACACACACTCTCAGCATAAAGTCCAAATATGTTTTACCTCTGGCGTGAAAAATAAAACTTTTAATGACATATTAAGTTGATTTCACCGAGTTTTCAGCTTCTTTTTTTTTTGTTTGTTGTTGTTGTTGTTGTTGTTTTCGTTTGCTTAAATTCAATAATATCAGCAGTTATTAAATAAAAACGGGCCTAACACAGCTACTTAGTTACTGTATATCTCGTAGTTGCATCAGTTATTTTTGGACAGATTGCCTGCCACTGCAATGCATGTGGATCCTTTTAATTATTGTCCTTGTGACTTCAAATTTATGTAATGAGTCACTTCAGCTAATTTATCATAAAATAAATAGATAAATAAAAGACAATGATTTAGCATCTCCTCCTTCTGATTCCAGCAGTGCAGAAAGCTGGGATGATACCTGAAGAGGTGATCTTGTAGAGAAGACCAGCCAGACTTTATGATCATATTAATCTTGTCTGGCCAATCAGATAAGCTAATTATATTCTGTTTAGTAAATATGCGGTGGTATTTCACTAATACAATGGATGTGGATGCAATTAGGTTGTGTTCCTCTGGATAATCCCCTAAGAACACCGTCTCCAGTTTAATTTGTTCTGTAAAAACAGCCCAAACTTCTATAACCCCCCTGGAAATGCCCCTGCTCTTGTTAAATCCCATCTTTTAATTGTGAGGTACCACAAGACACAGGACTATTTATAAAGCATTCAGGTAGCCTCTAGGTATTAATAAACCAGTGTGGAAGCGCCTTAAATATACTTTCTGGAGGGCTTACATTGTGCTGATCCTAAACTTTATTGTATGATACAGAAAGGTTTTCATGATATAAAAATATTTGTCATTCTATGCAGATATTTAAAAACTAAAATAACATAATAACCGTCTCTCATCAGGGGTTTTACCAGCTGCTGGAGCCCAAAGTCACCATTCGCTGTCGTAAACAGGACATACCGCTGGTGCAGGTGAGTAAAACAGAAGGTGTCTCTTTACCCTTTTTACCCTGCAGTGCAGTATCACCTGCCCTGCTGTGGGCAGTGTGGGGAAAACCCAGTTTCAAAGTTATCATGTTTAATGATACGTGTTCAGTTACTGAAGGGAAATTTTGTGCTGATCCAGTTGTTTGTATCAGATGAAATCTCATCCCAAACTTCCTTGTACCCTTCAGGCATCCATCCAGAAGAACATTTCCATATATAAAGCAGCCGTGAAGAACAACATTGAGGTCCGCATTGACCAGGATAACTTCCTCTCCCCTGACGTGTAAGCAGAATCACATTTGAACGACAAACCAGTGATCACTAAGGGGAAGTTCTCTTGAAAACTTAGCCACCTCTTAATTTGAGATCAAAATGTCAAACTTTTTCTGCATGCAGGTCTGGAGGTATTGAGATCTATAATGGAGACGGGAAGATCAAGGTGTCCAACACTCTGGAGAGCAGACTGGACCTCATGGCTCAGCAGGTAGGAAATGCATATCTTATCATTTTATCTTTCTTGTTTCACACATTGTAAATGCACTAGTTTACTCTAACTGCACATTATTCTGTTTATATATAACAAACTTGCATTTTAAATCATCGTCACACTGGTGGCATGGTGTTAAATTCTTAAAATGTACGCAACAGAGAAAAAGTAAAACAGTATTCTTAACATGCATTTGAAAAAATGACTGTTTTAATACCAAACTTCATTTTTCAGTGCAATATTTTTTCTGTTTCTGTTTTAAACTTTAAAAAGATACACAATGCTTATGTTCGACGAAATTTGAGGCTTTTAATAAATAAACATTACCTGCTTTGAGACATGTCACTATATTTACCAATATAAAGAGTATGAAGATAGTTACCATCTCGCTGTAGGCTAGTTTTTCATTTTGAAGTTAATATCAGTGTGTTTAAAAGAGGTGAGCAATATTTTTTTTTTTTTCTAAAAATTCAGTAAAACTACACTGTAGTCACAGAAAATGGTCTTGCACTTCATCCAGTAACATACTTCTTTTTACTCTGTTTTTATTTAGTGACTTTATGCTATTAACTGTAAATAAAACAGGAAAACAAGTTTTGTAGTGTTTCTTTTTCATTAGTATTTCACATTTACAGAGGTGGCAGAGAGCAGAGTTATGACAGATGGAATATTAAGTCAGTACAGTAGTGGGTGTTCAAGAATATTCCATATATTCTAACTTCGATTTTAGTAATTTGCTGAATCAGCTTGTTAGGTGACAGAAAAGTTGAGGATTGTGCAAAAGTCTTGAGCCACCCATTTTTCTTTATGTTTTGCTTTTAAGGAGCCACAGTTCTCCAGGCTTTCTGAAGTTCTGTCAAAGCTTTGCTTTGGACATTGGAAGCTTTTTCACTCATTTTCAGTCCTGCACCTGACAACGTTTTGTTTTTTTGTTAAGCCACTTAACAAGAATCTGTGAATCACACATAAGAAGGACACCTAACCCAAGGGAAGAACCAGTGTTGTCTGCATATAACAGATAAACGATGTAGTCCCAAATAACAGTCTCAAGGTGCTTAATATTAAGAAAGAGAAACTGAGAAAAGGTTGAGTTATGCCAAATTACTCAAGAGCTGGACTGAAAATCCAGTGGCAACAGGTCTTATGGAGGTGAAGCCACATTTAAAATTTTTGGTTTAAATTGTATCGTATATGTCCGGAGGAGGTCGGGAGAGAAGTACAACAGAGTGTCTACTGCCGTCTGTAAAGCACAATGAAGGTTCTGTCAGTGGTGTTGGAGTTCTATTTAAAATTGATGCAATTATGAATGCAGAAAAGTAGAATCAGATTTTGATCCACCATCCAGTACCATCTGAAAGCATCTGACCGGCAACAGCTTCATTTTTCTACATGACAATGATCATAAACACACAGCAAAAACAAACCTGGATAGAGAAGCACACAGTGGAACATTTTCAGTCATGGATCAGACTCCAGAGTCCAGACCTCAACGTTATTAAAGCAGTGTGGGATCATCTTAACAGCCAACATCCAGAAAAGAGCTTTAAGTGTCCTTCAAGAGGCCTGGAGAACTGTTCCTGAAGACTTCTTTAAAGAGAGTTGAGGCTGTGAAGAAGAATAAAGCTTGTCACACTAAATACTGACTTTCAAGTTTGTTGTACAAACTCAGTTTTTACCTTATTTACTGTATTTCCACCTTTTTTTTTTTTTTTTTTTTTTTTTTTTTTTTTTTCTGGATCAATATAAAGAAATTAGGAGGGGCTCAAGATTTTTGCACAGTACTGTAGTTAGTTCTAGCTGTACTTTCTCAAATGTACAAGGAGTAAATTGAACGTCTTCTCATTTTAGATGTTTGGTCATTCAATAAAAATGTAAATGTCTCCTCTCGGGGTTTCTGTTTTATAAAGAAAGTTACTCTGAGATGATGGTTGTTGGCTTATCCTGTCACTCTGTTTGCAGATGATGCCTGAAATCCGAGTGGCTCTCTTTGGTGCCAACCCAAACCGCAAGTTTATGGACTGAGAACCTCTGCTGTACGAGAGAGAGAGAAACACTCCTTTTAATTTTTTATTTTGTCATATAAAAGACGTCATTCCTTTGTCTGTGAAATTTCTGACGCAAAAAAGATGTTGTTGTGTGATGTATTGCTGTATTTTTTTTTCTGTGCATTAAGGGACATGATAGATGCTGCAACTCAACATTACAGATGTGTACAGCTGTAAGCACTGGTTTGCTCTGCTGCTCCCATTCATGGGCCTCAGTTTACACTGATCAGTCAGGGAAGACGGGATCGAGTGACTGGCTGGATGTTAAACAAGTTGTCCTCTAACTGGATTAGTTTCATGACAAACATAGCATCTGTGTCACGGTTTTCCCAGTTTCATTACCCTCTGCACCACATTTTTGGTTGCATGGAGCATTGTGTTGATAATAGGTGTCTGCTCCAGCCAATCGCACATATATATACATATATAGGCTCGCGCACACACACAAAAATGGAATCCATAGAAACAAAACTGAAGGTTGGATATGATCTTAGAGTTAATTTATTCCTGTTACATCAACTGTACCTTCTCCTCCTGTCATGAATTAAAGGAGTGGCTGATATCATTCCAGAGGGTGCCCTGTATGTATATGAGGTTTCCAGATTAAATTATATGTATGTGTGTGGTGGTTGTTTGTTTTGATTTCTCATCTTTTTTCTTTTTGTTTTTTGATTGTCTCAAATTCAAAATGTTTTATTGTGGGAATGTGTATAAAGTATAAAATCTGAACCATTAGTATTTCCTCTCTTCTTTTTGACTCGCACATTGTTCTCGCAGCTGAATGATCTCCAGTCTTTCCCATTTATTTTGCAACACTGGCCATTCATGCTTCATTCATTAGTTTATCACATGGTATTAGTCAGACAAAAATGTCCCAATTATCCGGTCGCTCCGAGTATTTTTCCTGACATTCAAGAGTTTCTTGTGGAAAACAAGCATTTAAGGAGACTGTGGAGAGAGACACAAGACGCTGCTTCTTGCTGTTCTTGTAAGTATGGTCTTGTTTTTAAAGGAGTTAGATTTGCCTTTTAAGATTTGTCTTCATTTGTCACTGTTACCGAGAGCTGTGTGCTACTTTCGTTACCTCTTATGCATAATAAATGTGGTCCAGAAAGTAAAACGGTTATGCTAGAAAGTTGAATTTGTTCATCTGGATACAGCGTTCTCAGCATCAGGATTAACAGAATCAATTTTCTGGGATTTGCTTACCTGGATTATTGAGCATGTCTCAAATCAGTTGAGTGCGGCTTCACCCTAGAATCTGTCAGCACTGTGTGAGCATGTTATAATCCTAAAGAACTTGTAACAAGCTTGAAATTTGTTCAGTTACTATCAAAGCTACAAAAACTTCTCCTTTAACGACAGTATTCATGTCTTTCATGGAGTATCTTCTCATTTCCAGCACCAAATACAGCCTGCTCCTTTCAAAAGTGAGAACATGTTGTTCTAGTAGGGATACAGCACCCCCCGGTGGCACACAAGGACATGGTGATCTCATTCCTCTGGGCTGTGGTCACTTATGTGCCCCTTCTGTGGTTTGTGAGGGTGACTGAAGGGATGCCTGACCCCGCTCAGAGGGACCTGCTGATGCGTCAGGAGGCATCCAGGCAAACGGGAGGACAAGTGGTGCTGACAGCGGCCGAGCAGAAGCTGGACGCTTACCTCCATCGATTGAAGGAGCAAGAGATGTCTGCCACACCTTTTCCTCCTGCTTTGCATTTCTTCAAAGCAAAACCTCTCATTGAAAAGAGCCCAGTCTTCAAACTGCTGCAAAAGATGCCTAAAGGTGATGTTAAAGCTTTGTCTGGCCTACTGCATCAGTCCACCAGAAACAGATGCAGGAGCTTAGAAGGTCACGGGGACCCAACCAAACCTAATGCTGTTATTGTTTATTTTGGCATTCAAAGGTCATGGTCATTGTGACCTCAGGTTAATCCTAAATGTGGACTCAAGGATAAAGTGATTAGATTTTGGCAGAGAAAGAACAAAAAGGTAAAGCACTGCAGCAATTCTCAAAAGTCATATTTCTGGTCCCCTTTACGTCACAGCTGCGCAGCACGCCCAGGCTGCTTTCTCTGATATTTCATATACTGTAGTGTGCTGTAAAAGCTGTATGTATTAGCAATGGAGAGAAAAAAATATGATTTGGGGAAAAAATTAAGAGGAATGCAGATGTGGTGCTTGATGTCTAATCCACTAGATGTTTTCAGAAAAGCAAAGATGAGCAGACAGAGACTGAAAAATATTAAACAAAATCCCTAGAAACTGTGAGGTTGTTTAGTTTTTCTTAGATTTATCAGGTGTGGGAGGCCTTTAATATTCCTGAACCCTAGGGCCTGTCTTACAAGTCATCAATGATTACTTTCAGTATTTGCCTAAGTTTGAGGTTACATCTTGCTGTTTGGGTGACAGGCGCAGCCCTCCACATCCACAGCTCCTCTCTGGTCAGTGTTGAGTGGCTGGTGAAAAACGTCACCTACAGACCTAACTGCTACATCTGCTTCACTTGGGACAACTCTGTCCGCTTCCAGTTCTCAGCTCGCCAGCCCTTCCCACGCTGGGACTGCTTCTACTGGCAACTGCTCGAGACCTTGAGAGCCAAAATAGGAGATCCTACTGGCTTTGATAACAGGTTAGTTAACCTCTAACCCTCTCCTGAACATGTAAAGTCAAGCTGTAGTGGGAGAACTTAACACTGAAAGGTCGTTTTTGGGTGGTTTACAGTTTAATGCAGCACCTCACTCTGGTCACCGAGGATCCAGATGGTCAATACCCAAGCCAAGACGTTGTGTGGGGGAAGTTTGAGAAAGCCTTCATCGCATCTGCGGGCTTAGTCACCCATGCTCCAGTCCTGAAGGATTATTTTTATAAAGGCCTAGAGGAGCTTCACCGCGACAACATCCTGTATCTGGAACTGAGGAGCGGTCTCTCAAGGGTTTGTTTGTTTGTTTACACCTGATCCTTGCAGCGTCAGCCTGTACTAAACAGCTACAGCAGCAGTATATCCGACATTTCTGCTTTTCTAACTGAAACCTTTGTGTTGCAGACATACGAGCTCGATGGAACTATTCACGATAAGTTCTGGACTCTGAAAACATTTCAAGAGGTTACAAAGAAATTTATTGGAGACCATCCAGACTTTCTCGGGGCTCGTATCATAATTTCTGTCCACAGGTAAAATATATCGTAGAGAGGGCTTCTCTCAAATTACACTCCATTTCAAGTGACAACCAAGGCTGTCTAAGCACTCCACAAATTATTAGCTTCATTGTGGAAAAGTTCACAGAGCCTATGTATGCCTTTTCTGTGTCTTGTTTTCCTCCCTTGACCCCCAATCTGGGCTGCCTGTCCCTGAGCCTGGTCCTGCCAGGGGTATCTTCCTGTTAAAGAGTTTTTCCTTCCTATTGTCACCCAGTGATTGCTACGGAAGAGGATTAGGGCCACTGGGAGAAAAAAAAGTGGGCATGACTTTTTCTTTCCTTCTTAAAGTCAGAATTCTGACTTTTTTCTCAGAGTTCTGGAAAAGAAGAAAAAAAAAAAGACGTGCCCACCTTTTTTCCCCAGTGGCCCTAATCCTCTTCCGTATATAACTCATAGAGGCTCAATTGATTGTTGGGGGTGTCTCTATATTATTTCAGGGTCTTCATCTTACAAAATAAAGAACCTTGAGGCAGGCTGTTGTCATTTGGTGCTAGATAAAGAAAAGTGAATTGAACTAAATACAGGGATAAATGTTTGGTATTGTAAAAGCTTTATCCCGCTAGAACTGTTGAAGCTGGGTTAAGAAAAGACGATCAGTGAGCAGCAGTATGGCTTCACCCTGAGAAAGAGCACTACGGACGCTTGGAGTGTTGATGCAGAAGTGCAGGCTGAAGGTCAGCTTCACTGTTTCTTTGTGGGTGTAAAGAAAGCAGATGATGAGTGCCAAGAGAGGACCTGTGACACTGTATGTGGAACTCAGGAGTGACAGATATTCAAGGTTGGAGAGAGATTGCATCGGCGGTCTGCTCTGAACCCCTTCTTGTTTGCAGTGGTGAAGGACAGGTTAACGTAAGGTCAGGCATGTTTCCAGATGACATTGTGCTCTGTTTTGACAGTAGGGAACAGTTTGAAGAGACCCTGGAGAGGTGCAGGTATGCACTGCAAAGAAGAGGAATGAAAGTCAGTGAGACAGGTGGAAGGCGGACAAGGCATAGATGTAGTGAAGGTGGATTAGTTCATATACCTGAAGTCAGCTATGCTATTAGAGGTTTAAAAGAGTGTGAGAAGAATAGAAGCAATAGTGAAAGAGAAGCAGGAGACAGGAAACCAAGCTGAAGGAGGCAATTTTCATTGGGAGTGACGAGGATGGCAAAGATTAAAGTACATTAGAGGGACAGCTCAGTGGTTTAGAGACAAAGTTAGGTTAGGCTGAGATGACTTGGACGTGTGCAGAGGAGTGGATATATTAGACAAAGGATGTTGAACTTGGAGCTCCCAGGCCATAGCTGGTGTGACAAAAGAAGATGCTAAGGCAGATTTACAAACCTGGACTTGGTGGCATGCTGTTGGATTACACGTAAAAAAAAAAAAAAGCATCAAAAGTGCAGGCTTTTTAGGTCCACAGTGATCTGTAGTTACATGGTTCATTTCCTCTTCAGCCCAGAGGATGGCACATTTGTGATTTCCAAAAAAAGCTCAGATTATCCAGACTGCAGCACAGTTTTTACACCCCTTTAGCCCATCTAAAATTAGCATGGGCTCAAAGAAGGCAGCTGTGTTTATGGATGTTGTTCATAAATGTTTTCTTTTTCTTGTATCATAGACTTTTGGATCAGTGGAAGCAGTGATGAGTGTTGTTGATGCACTACCCCCAGAGAGACAAGGATAGGCTTTCGGCCTTATCCGTTGTATACAGAGATTTCTCTGGATTCTCTGAATCTTTTAATAATATTTACACATTTTTTATTTTTTTTTCAACTGGAATATTTGATCATTTAGTCTTTCACTAGTCTTTTTTTCAAGTGGTGAACCCCTCCCCTTTCCTTTTTAACTAGTGAGATAAGGAGCTATGAGTCTTTTTAGAGACAGTTATGCTACTAATTACCCTCATGAGTTGTGAGACAGCACACTAGCTCTTTTATGCATATGTTTTACCATTATGTAACTTGTCCAGGGTTTTTTTTGGACCCTGTCTCGTGGAAGGAAGTTGAAAATTAGCTTTTATTTTGCAACATAATGTTTTCTTTGAAATATTGTGTGTGTGTGTGTGTGTTTTTAACCGTCTTCAGTTAAATGTAAAGAATTCAGTGGTTTTCAAGTAACTCCACTGGAAATGTAGTTTTACTTAACCCTTTCATGCATGAATTATGACAACCTCAATCAGGATTTTTTTTAAAGTATTTTTATTCATCTTTAGGCATGAAAAGATGAATAACTTATTAGATAATAGCCTTGTAACCAATGTATGTACCTCCAAATTACTTCCCACCACTTACTTCCAACCGCTGGCAGCACATTTCTCATGTTAAATAAAATGGGGGCAAGATGTTGTGATCTCCAAGCTCTACTTTAAGTCGAACTGTGTTTCAGTTTGGAAAATAATTAAATGATAATTCAATATATTATCTCGAATCATTCGGCTTCCTGTTTTCTTGCAAAGGAAGCAGCGACAAAGTCCAGTTATGAACAGGACAGTCCATTCATTTGATAAATCCAAACACATGAAAAAGGGACGTATAATGATTTCTGCAGCTGTGATGGAGTCCTGTTAAATCCTGATGTTGTGTTAATCCGACAGAAAGCACGTTACAATTTAGGGATGAAAAGTTTGGGAGCAATCTGAAGTCACTGAGACAAGTTTGATAGCATGACTGATATCCTAACATCTGTGAAGTTGATTTTGAATTTATTTTTTTTTAGCTCTGCTGGCAGCAGACTGAAATATACATATTAAACTTTGAACAGATACTCAGGGGCTCCAAAAGGATTAAACCTGATTCCTGATTTGGTGATACGCTGACTTTGTTTTTTCAATATAGCACCAACTGCCACAAAATTTTATTAAGACATTCATTTTTAGGTCAAATTTTACTTTAAAGTAACCATTTAATTTAATCTTAAAATGTGCATGTGTCTTAATTTTACTGGTTTAGATTCAGCATGTGCCTCAAAGTACCACTAGAGTAAGCGGCTATGACCATCTACTTGTAAGTTCCCCGTTTATTTTCCTGGACAGTTCTGTTAGGAAAACCTGCGCTTAAATGCTGATAAGGTTTATCACCTGTTTTCAACATTGGAAACCGATTTTTCTCAGGCAGGCATCTTAACTTCTATATCTTGATGTAAAATTAAACATTTTGTTGTTTGTGAGTCTTAGAAAGTACTGTCATCTATGTGTGTTGTTCCTTTCTTCAGAGCTTTGAGTATATCTGAGGTCAAAGCTGCTGTAAAAGAGGCCATTCAGCTGCAAAAGGACTTCCCAGATGTCGTTGCAGGATTTGACATGGTAAGAAGTGACCCGTGTACTTTAGCCTCAACTTCTTATAAGCTCTGAGTCCAGAGATCATTTATCTGCTTATTGGGGACCATGTGGTGTGGAATTTACATGTCTGTCTGACTTTTCTGCTCTTCTTGTATTGTGCCTACAATCCTAAGAAATTCAAGTTAACTCCTAATTCACCTTAGATATGAGCATGAATGGCTTTCTGTCTCTCTTCATACGACTGACTGTCAGCTCTTGCAGGGTGTACCCTAGCGTAGCATTACTAGTTAACCTTATGGTTTGCAGGTTGGACGGGAGGACAGCGGGAAGAGTCTTTGGTTCTTCAGAGAGGCCCTCTCTCTGCCAGCTGAACTTGGTGTCAGATTGCCGTACTTCTTTCATGCAGGGGAGACAGGTGGGGGGATCAAAAAGCATAAAGCTCATTATACCATGAGTAAGATTTGAAAAATTATTTTGAAATGTACTGTACGCTGTATTTGTATCTATGTGTACAGATGACGAAGGCACAGACACAGATCAAAATATTCTTGATGCCCTTCTATTCAACACCATGCGCATTGGCCACGGCTACGCTTTAGCGCACCATCCGCTTGCCAAAGAACTTTCTAGGAAAAGAAATGTGGCTGTGGAGCTTTGTCCCATCTCAAACCAGGTAAGCTCATTACATGACAGTCTAAGGAGCTTGGAAAGAAAAGCGTCTGGACTTCTTTAAGTTGTTTGAAGACGTTTCACCTCTCATCCGAGAAGCTTCTTCAGTTCTAAGGGTCAAATGGTGGAGAGTCCCAGATTTAAAACCAGTGGGAGTTTCCCCCCAAAGAGGGAACAAAGGACCCCCTGATGATCCTCGACCTAATTCCTGAGCCAAGGTGTGAAAACGGGTGTGGGTCACAATCAGCCAGGGTTTCAGGTGAGCTCATTGTGAAACCTGGCCCCACCCTATCATGTGGTTTCCTGAGGCGGTGGTTTATGACACCAACTGTCTGCCATATATAATCCAGTTTTGAGATCCCTTCCCAGGCGCCTGGGCCATCTGACCTCAGCAAACCACATGATAGGGTGGGGCCAGGTTTCACAATGAGCTCATCCGAAACCCTGGCTCTTGGGACCCACACCCGTTTTCACATCTTGACTCATGTGATTAGGTCGAGGATCATCAGGGGGTCCTTTGTTCCCTCTTTGGGGGGAAACTCCCACAGGGTGTTAATCTGGGACTCGCCACCATTTGACACTTAGAACTGAAGAAGCTTCTCGGATGAGAGGTGAAACGTCTTCAAGCAACTTAAAGAAGTCCAGACGCTTTTCTTTCCAAGCTCCTTAGACTACGATGACCTGGATGACTGAGAACCTTCACAGAAATATTTGGATGACACAACCTCCGACCCACAGCTTGACTGTGTTGCGCTGAATACCTTTAAAGCTACCAGAGCAGAAGACACTGCTGTGATTTGTAGCTTCTTCGTGATGTAGGATTAACACTATAAAACAATCTAACTTTAAGAAGAGACCACCTTTAATGTTATGGGCAATGCAAAGTGATATACCTGTAGAAGGCTGTGAAAAAGCATTTGCCCCCTTTTTGCATATTTGTCACACTTTTAAATATTAGACAAAAATAACCTAAGTAAATTCTAAATATCTTTTCAATGATGATTTCATTTATTAAGAGAAAAGTTATCCAATTGCCCCGAAACCTAATAACTTGTGTCTCCTTTGGCACCAAGAACTGCAATCAAGTGTTTGCGATAACTGACAAGAGTGTTTTTACATGGCTGTGGAGGAATGTTGGCTCACTCTTCTTTGCAGAATTGCTTTAACTCAGCCACACTGGAGGGTTTATGATCATGCCAAAGCCCCTCAATCGTATTAAGTCCGGACTTTGACTAGGCCACTCCAAATCCTTCACATTGGGGTTTTTTTTTTTGTTGACATTTAGACGTGGACTTGCTCGTTTTCTCTTTGTGCATCCACAGTCTCTTTCTTAGCGTGACCTGACCTTAACTGAGGAGAGTGAGGTCTGCAGTTCTTTAGATGTTGTTCTGGGTTCTTTTGTGGCCTCCAGGATGAGTCATCAGTATGGTCTTTGGTAGTAGTTTTGTAGCACTTTCTGAAATATGGTTAAAAACAACTCATCTCATACGTAGGTTGATAAACTTTCCAAGTCAAGAACAAATGTAAAACTAAGAAAAATTTTAACTTGTCATAAAAATCTTTAATTTATAAATGATATCTTGCTACCAAAGACAAAAGGTAATACCGGTGTCAAACATTAAGCCTGATTAAATTGAAATTTAAACTGCAACCACTAAAAGTCAGCTGGTACAATGGCAAGAAATGTCGATTAAATTAACATGATTTAAAATTGTAAGATTATCTAAATCTATCAGGTGTTTTTGAAGAAGCTTAAATTCCTAAAAGTCAGGAATTGAGGACATTATTTTAAATAAAAGTGAACAGAAATATACACGTCACATTAATGACCTGTTAGCACTGCCATCGTAAAATACACACAGTATGTACATGTGTTTATACATAACTTACCTGAGTTTGTTTCACCTCTGACCTGCAGGTGCTGAAGCTGGTTTCAGACCTGAGGAACCACCCTGCTACTGTGCTGATGTCAGAGGGTCACCCGATGGTCATCAGTGCCGATGACCCGTCCCTGTTTGGCACCACAGGCCTCTCCTATGACTTCTATCAAGCATTCGTGGGCATCGGAGGGTTGAAAGCAAACCTGGGCACGCTCAAAGAACTGGCTGCAAACTCCATCACGTCAGAATAATTTCACTTTATTTCTTTCATTCATGTTTTAACGTTAAGCCTTCAAAGAAAACAAGATGGGCTCAAAATGTGGTGGCCAACAGCTGATGCCAGTTTTCATCATACTATCTTTGAATGAGCATGAATTAAATTATACAAGTGAATGAATTTCAGTCCAACATACACTCAATGATTCTCACCTCTCAATAAACATGAAGAACAATTCTCAGGAATGCACTGGAAATATATCAAATCAAAGGTTTATTTATTTAAATAAAGTACATTTCATCTGACCAGATTCCATTAAATTTAACATTTTCCTTAGAAAATGTAGATATAATTAGTTAAAGTCAGCATTACGAGCATACCAGTTTTTAAGTGCACGAGGATGACTAAACTCATGCTATCAGTAACAGTATCCTCCAATATGATGTTCAGCACTATGCTAACACAGAGTTACTCATGTTTAGTAAAATTTAAAAGTAAAAAATTGAGCCAAGCGTTCAGATAATGTCCTTATTTATTTGTCAGGACAACAATAATATTCATGTTGGAATTGCATTTTTGAAGCAACTTATAAATCTCTCCAAGATGATTTTCACATTAAAAAAACATGAATGTTTATATTATTTTAAGAAAACCTTTGGTTTTAAGCCCTGTTGCAGTATGTTTCTTCTCATTAAATATTTCTTCTTCTGCCTGCAGGTATAGCTCACTCCCAGCTCATCTGAAGGATTCAGGTCGTGCCATGTGGCAGAAAAAGTGGGACGCCTTCATTTCTGCCAACTCATAACAGCCGAGTGATATTAGATCCTGACTGACTTGAATGAATGACTGAATGTTTGTAATATCACTAAAGGTAAATATTCATAGGCCTTTAGCAGACTTTATTTTAAAAAAAAAAAAGATTAAGGCTATTGGAGTCTCTGTTAACAGTAAGACTAACAGTTTGACGGGATTGGCAGGTTGGTACTGTAAGTGTCTTAGTAGCTTTTTCACCCCTTGAGCGATCACGAAGAAGCTTTACAAGAGACCAGCTGACAGTGGGGGGGAGGTTTGGTCAAGTTTGTCATGCACAGCTAGTCTTTTGTCTTCATAATACCAAACATGTACAGGGGAACTGTTCACAAGGAAATTTCTCTATTCAAAACAAACAAGAAAAATAAAATGTTTCTTTGTAGTTGATGCACATACATCTAATTTAAATACAAAAAGTAGAAGAAAAAAAGTTTCACTTTTTCAGTGACTCACTTCAGAAACCTTGTTTCTTTTTTAAATAATGATGTAACGAAAGACAACTAACGATCTTTCTTTGACACGAGGCTCACTTTTTGTGCAATAAACAGCTCATTATCTTCTGAGACCTGCCCAGCAGTCTCTTAGTGGTCTTTGATGAGATTTTGTATATTCCAGCTCTGACCGGTGCACTGCTGGACGACGAGTTGGTAAAAGCCAACGTCATCCTTCGCAATTTCTAGACATCGCTTTGTTTTTCTGTTCTGGATCGGTCCTCCCTGCAAATAAACACATTTTATTGTCTCCTTTTCTTCTCCAGACATTTGTGACTGGCTTCCATGTGACCTCAGATTAGGCTGATTTTTTTTTTTTTTTTTTTTTATTTATACAATAACGTCACCATATTTGCAAGGCTCAGCAGGGTGGTGGTTCGAGCCCTGGCTGCTCCAGTCTGCATGCCAAAGTATCCTTAGGGAAGGTACAGAACCAACCCCAAATGGTTCTCGAATACATCCATCAGTGTGAATGTTAGATAGAAAGCACTTAAGCATAGAAAAAGTGCTGTGTGACTGGGTGAATGAGGCATGTTGTATAAAGTACTTTGAGTGCTCAGGCAGAGTAGAAAAGTGCTACATAAACACAAGGTTATTTGCCTTGTAAATTTACCTTCATGCTTTGAAAATTGTCTGCAGTACAGGCCCTCAAAGTCTAATACTTGGTTGAAATTCGGGGTTTTTCCCCCAATGTTTATATTTCGTAAGAATATCCAATAACCAACTAAGATTTTCAGGACTGAAAAACATATTTAAGCTAAGTTAACAGACTACCATCAAATTAATTTTACATCAACTGCAAAAACTTCTCTATTGATCATCAGTATCATTGAATATGATGATCCATACATCCACTGGACTGGATGTATGGATGTGTCTGCTCCGAGACACCCAGACCTCTCTGCCCTGAGGCCTCCTCCATTTACCAGTAATCTGCTATAATCTCGTGATATTTAGTTGACTCCAACAAATGCGTCTCATCAAATTTAGATGCCTCACAGCACTGTAGGCATTCTTAATCAATATTATACAGACTTGTTTTATTTCTCAGACGGTGAAGTTGTTTTTTTTTTGTTTTTTTTTTTAAATGTGTTTGGGAGCAACTGAGGACCACAATGAACATGTTAAAAAAACTGCAAAACATCACCTACTAGGTGATCAAGTTTCATTAGTTGAGCTTATGCCTAGTGTAGCATAAGCTCAACAGTCCTTTGGCTGGACAAGCTTAAAAGCTTTTAAAAAAAAAAAAATCAGCTGATTCAGAGTGGGTCGGGTGGCAACTTCCCTCAGGTTTGACTGAGTCTATATTTAAAAACTGAAATATTTACCTGTTTAAAATCCCACAGCATGTGAAAGTCTTTCTGTTTGGCTATTTTGCAGTCATACAGCCCCGGGTAGAGACCACTGAAAGGGTCCACTAGACAGCGGTTGCTGTTGTACTTATGAGATTTGATCCCGCCAATGTAGAGTTGTCCATCAGAGCGATAAAAACAGTGCTAAATCAAAGAACAACAATTACCTACAAAAACAAAATCACCACCTGTTTGTAAGCATTGAATATCTAAACATACTTGAGTCGAATAGAAGTGGCATCCATACAAGATGGGTGTGTTTCCTGGCATCGGGCCTTGGTCAACACAGAGTTCTGGCTTCAGATCATTTATCATCTGCCAACAAAAGCACAAATAAACTGGAGCAGCTTTCATTAGAAAGAGCACAATGTGTATCCAGCAGACAAATCCAGACGCTATTATGGTGCAGAAACACATTTTAGTTAACTGATATAAAAATAAAAAAGATGCAAACTGAAACGACATTATGAGTTTGCAAAACTAACAAAAAGTATTTGTCAGTGAGGCCAAATTCACAAACCAAACAAGGATTAAGAGGCAAATTATAACATGAAGTATTGTGTTTGTATTGTAATATCTTTTCTAAACTACAATAAAAATACTCCCAACACTGTATTTCCTTTAAGTAAATGAGTAAATTGACTCTGGAACAAAAACAAAACTCTAACTTTAAATTAATTCTCAATTAGAAAAGATGGGAAAGGGGAGTTTGCTAATACTGCAATGTCACTGTACCAAGATTCAGTGCAATTAAATATTAGCAGAAGCACCACCAAGAGGGAGTTCCTTGAGAGCATTCATGGAAAGTTTGCTTTACAGATGCTCTCACTATGAAACACACCCTGCATAAAAACGAAGTAAGAGTACATAATATTCTCCAGTGAATGAATCTATTGTAACCGTAAGACACCTTGATGTATCCCCAGGAAAGTCTTCAAATAAAAAAATAATATGATAAGCGTAAAAAAAACAAAAGCTGCTTAAAGGTTCTTTGCTGCTGGTGACGTCTGCCCATGTTGTGTGCTGATCTTCATTGTGTAATAGGGACTAACATGTGTGTGAATTTGAACTTGCTGCTGCATCTTGTAAGCATTTTATGTCACATATGACTCCTTAGAGGCCAGCGCATAAGCCTGAGTCCTTTTATAAAGCCTACAAAGCTGACTTGACAAGGCAGAGAAGCTTGCCTTGCATCATCCTCAATTAAATATTAACTAAAAATTTACTTTGTAATGTTAAATAATTTATTTATGGCTAAAACTACCACCACAGATCATGATTAATAGTGTGCTGGAACCATTTTAGACTATCTATGTAGCATTTTCATTGCTATGAAGTTAGTATTATTAGCAAGCGACCTCAATCACAGACTGTATAAAAAAGATGGATTTTGCTTCTGAGTCTGAAAACTGGCTCCTTCACTCTGTGACCTCAGTAAACACGTTTATGGTCTCAGTCACAAGTTTCAAGCCCTGTTTACTTTACTGTTACCACCCTAACACAAAGATGGCGATAACAAAACTGCTCATGTCGAGGTTTTTTAACAGAACCTCGCAACCATCACAATAACTACATCCATCTTTTATATACAGTCTAGGGAAGGTATGACAAAAGAGTTTGTATCTAAACTACTTTTGGCTTCTGTTGTCAAATTTGGCCACATATTTGATGGACTCCCTAATACAACCCTGGAGACGACGTGTCTCTCCAGCTGAGACAAACCAGCGAAAACAAATGTGTTAACCACTACGCCACTGGAGGCCCAGCTAACCTCAACCACTCACGACAATATGTTGCACAGTCTATCACTAGCAAAATAGCTAAAAGAAGACAGTCCTGGTCAGTTCTTTTGCTACAATCCAACATAGCAAGTAAGTGGCTAAATTTGACTCACAGATATTGTTATCTGTTTTTTTTTTTTTTTTTGGGTGATGTTATGGGGCAGCAGAAAAGAGGCCTTTAAGCCTGTGATTTAGGATAATAAACATCACATAAATCACACCAATTTGTTTTTGCAGAGAATCCATCATACAACCGTTACATTTAAAAAAAAAAAAAAAAAAAGAAAAAGTCCACATGTAGGACATTGGAGGCAACCTCAGAACTTGGGGAAGGTCTCATTTTGAAATTTTTAAAGCTGTAATACATTTATAGGGGGGGAAACCCCTTGAAAAGCATTAAAAACATTCCACAGAGAGGCCCTTTAAATTAATTAATTAATTATTAATGAGAATTAAAGAGTTAAAAAGACTTTATGGTCACACTTTAATATCCAACCTCTCATATGTATTCCGACAAAACAGTTATTTTTGACTTACAGCTCCATAACTGAGCAGGTCATGCAGGGGGTCCAGCTTGGGGTAAACATTGTCTAAATACCACTTAAAGGGCTTACAATTAAGCCTCTCTCTGAGCTTCTTTCTCTCCGACACATCTCCGATGTCTATCCCATGGTTCTGTAGGAAAAACAATAGGACCACAGAGACATGTTTGAGTGCGCACACCATTACTCAACCTGCAGAGCACACAACTGTGCAATTTAGATCTTAAATGCAACTCGGAAAGTGCCCTCTCTTCTAACCTCAAGGGGAAGATTCCAGGCAATGTTGACATTGTATTTGTATTCATCTAGCCACACCTCTGCTACCCTCAGTGCATTACGCTTCATCATGACACTCAAGTCTGGGAGGTAAGGCTTTACTGCTCGTTCAATGTGGGCAATTTTAGAGCAAGGCACAACTTCAATGCTTCCTCCACACAGCCACACCTGTGAAAACATATAAAAGTAGGTTTGGAGGCTTTTAATGCAACTAATATAAAAAGGATTACCCATTAAAACTGATCACAAATATAACCAAATAAAGTTACATTGGAGTCAGTATTTGTATAAGACTTTAAATCCAAGTGGTATTATTACAAAGTGGAAGCATTTAGGAACCATAACGTTGCAAACCACCTAAAGCCACAGAGCCTGGTTGCAAAAAGAAGTGTGTAAAGGCACATATGGTGGGGCTAAATAAAAGGTAGGTAGACTAACATATTTCAAATCTCCAAGTCTCCAGTAGGACTTGATCCAGTCAGTACTTACCCGGATGCCCAGCTCCACATTTTCCCCACCGTATATTTTCATTCCACCATCAAGGCTTCCAATCTCTCCGAAGAACTTG